TACCGTGGTGCTGACAACACCAAGTCAAGGGTTAAGATACCCTTACTGGTCATCTTTTTTTTGTGTGTGCCAGCTGGCCAGTTTGGGGATCTGAACCCCTGACCTTGGCGTTACAAGGCTGTGCTCTAACCAACTGAGCTAACTGGCTAGTCCTACGTATCATCTTAAAAAACAAAAAACAAAATAACTTTTGCCCTGCCAAAGACCTTGCAAAGATGAGAAGACCGGGAGAAAATATTTTCTCACCAGATGTGGGTACTTCAAAAAGTTCATGGAAAGATTCATATTCTCTTTTAATTCTATTTTCCCACAAACTTTTTGAAGTACCCTGGTATATCCCACAGAGAACTAATATCTAGAATATAGGAAGAGCTTTCAAAACTCAACAATAAAAAAGCAAATGATCCAATTAGAACGTGAAGAGGCCCTTTTCCAAAGAGGATCTACAGAGGGCAAGTGATCACATGAAACGATGCCCAGATCATTAGCCATTAGGGAAATGCACGTTAAAGCCACCANATTAGTTCTCTGTGGGATATACCAGGGTACTTCAAAAAGTTCATGGAAAGATTCATATTCTCTTTTAATTCTATTTTCCCACAAACTTTTTGAAGTACCCTGGTATATCCCACAGAGAACTAATATCTAGAATATAGGAAGAGCTTTCAAAACTCAACAATAAAAAAGCAAATGATCCAATTAGAACGTGAAGAGGCCCTTTTCCAAAGAGGATCTACAGAGGGCAAGTGATCACATGAAACGATGCCCAGATCATTAGCCATTAGGGAAATGCACGTTAAAGCCACCACGAGATGCCACTACACATCTATCAGAATGGCTAAAATAAGGGCTGGCCCGTGGCTCACTCGGGAGAGTGCGGTGCTGATAACACCAAGGCCCCGGGTTCGGATCCCACATAGGGATGGCCGGTTCGCTCACTGGCTGAGCGTGGTGCTGACAACACCAAGTCAAGGGTTAAGATCCCCTTACCGGTCATCTTTAAAAAAAAAAAAAAAGAATGGCTAAAATAAAAAATCATGACAACACCCCATGCTGGCGAGTATGCAGAGAAACAGGATCACTCACACACTGCTGGTGGGAGTATAAAATGGTACAGCCCCTCTGGAAAACAGTAGTTTCTTAAAAACAAAAAACTAAACTAAGCGAGCAACTACCATATAACTCAGCAATTGCACTCTTGGGCGTTTATCCCAGAGAAATGAAGATGTGCTCACACAAAACCTGTGCACAAATGTTCCTAGCAGCTTTATTCATGTAGCTCCAAGCTGGAAACAACCCCGATGTCCTTCAGGGGGTGAAACAAACTGTGTAACCACCGCCACAACCGTGATGAGAAACATTTACATCACCCCAGAACCTTCCCCACGCCCGTTGCAGCCAATCCCCCCCTCTTCTTTCCCCAGGTGACTGCCGGCCCGCTTCCTGCCCCCCTAGCTAGTTTTGTATGTTCCAAAACTTCATATAAATGGAGCCCCACCCACACAGTATGTCCTCTCTTGCGTCTGAGTTCTTTCATTCAGAGAAACATTGTTGATGTTCATCCGCCTTGTTTATTGCTGATGGCTGGACATGGTTTGCTGATCCACTCACCTGTTGGCGGACATTTGGGTTGTTAACAGTTTTTAGCTATTATGGGTTAAGTCATTGCGTGGACATATGTTTTCACTTCTCTTGGGTAGACACTGCCAAACCCTCCTCCAAAGTGGCCACACCATTTTGTGTCTCCCTCCACCAGCAACGTAGGAGAGTTTCTGGCAGTTAGGAGATAGCCAAACTCCTCCAGAGAGACAATTTTCTGGAGGGTGGAACTCAGGCCAAAAGATTTGGGAGAGGACATACTCTTTGTTGGGTCCAGAAGCCATCAGGTGGCCATAGAACCCCCTCTTGCTGCACCCTCTTGTTTGGCTTTGCTTGGGTCGTCCTGAGCTCCACATCGAGCTGTCAACATGAGCCTTGAGTGTGGACCTCCCTGAGCCTCAGCTTCCCCATCTGTAAAATGGGCCTAAGGGCCCCAGGTCACACAGTGGTGCTGGCCCCACATGCTCTGCTGGGACAAGTGGCCTTCAATTCATGACCTTGGCTGAGGCCCCTCCAGACCTTGGACAGTCCCAGCCTCACCTCCCCCCGGCTCAGGGTGGCTGAATCAGCCGGGTGGTGGTGACTCATTGTTAAGTCAGGGAATTCCCTGCCGGGCCTCCTAGCTGGGGAGATGGGCAGGCCCCACCACATGGGGCCTGTGGTGATTTCATGTCTGGGGACAAGCCCAGGAGGCCCTTGGCAGTGGTGACTCCAGGGATTCTGGGCCTAGCTCTTCAAAGCCTTCCCACAGCAGCTGCAGTCGGGCCATGACGGCTCTGGTCTCTGAGCTCAGATCTAAATGGGGTCTGGGGTCTGCCCTTGCATCCTGAATCCAGCTCATCCCTGTCCCCTTCCAGGAAGCCTTTCCTGATGCCACCAACCACGCTGACCTCTCTCTCCCCTCTTGGAGTGTTCTTGCCTCATGGGATATGACCAAATTAGGAAGCTGGTGACTAACTTTTCTGCCCCAGCCCCACCTTCAGTTGGTCAAAGGATTTCCCTTCTTCAAGGGTTCATCTTGCTTGGTTCTAAATTGTGTCCCAAGGGCAGGGAGGTCTTCACTGAGCCTCTCAATCTGAGCCCAGAGGCCATGGTGTGCTTGTGGGCCACCAAGGCCCTCAGAACCTCTTCATGGGAACTGCCTAACAAAGTCAGATCTTGCATGTGTACAGTGGATTTGTTTTGTTTTGTTTTGTTTGTTTATTTTGGCAGCTGGCCAGTACAGGGGTCCAAACCCTTGACCCTGAATTTTTAAATCCATGTATAGGACTTTTCTTCAGCCAGGCAGAA